AGCTCTGAAGAAGCTGCACATAGTACCAGTCCTTTTTGTGACTGCCTTCTTCCCGAAAAGGCCATGGTTTGCAGCACTCCTCAGGTTATTCGACCATATTGGATGCTTCCATGCAGGAAGGACCTGCTGCTACAGGGTCCTCTGTTATCCAAAAGTGGAGAATCTATGCCTTGCAGTGTGGTTTCTGAAAAGCAACTGCTAGAAAAAAAAAAGGCGTTGTTCGCAAATTGTAATACAAAAATGGTTCTTATGCAAAGGGCTACTGTTGAAGCTAGCTTTACATGATACTCACTGACTTTCTACGGGTGTGGTTACAAATCATGTGGAGAAGAGAATGGTCCAGGAAGACAATAGAGAAGAGGTGATTTACTTCACAGAAGGGCAATGGCTATAAAAAAAAAAAGAAGATTGCAATGATGTTAAACAGGAAGCATCATGCAAGCAAAGGGCACTGTTGAAACGCTACTGGTCGTGGCCAGAAAGAAGTGTGACTTCGGACATGCTGTGCGCTACCTGAAGCGTAGAGTGGAGAGAAGAGTACCCCGTGTGACTGCTGAAAATCTGAGAAAATTGATTTGTCAGATGTGGGTACAGAAGTTTCAGCCCAGACAATAAGACGCACACTGCGTAATGAAGGCCTCCGTGCCAGAACTCCAGGCGTACCCCTTGCTGTCTCCAAAGAATAAGAAGAGTCGACTGCAGTATGCCAAAAGCCATGTGGACAAACCACAAAAGTTGTGGGATAGTGTTCTGTGGACTGATGAAACAAAATTAGAACTGTTTGGGCCCATGGAAACGCTCAGTAGATCGTCTCAGTCTTGAGAACCTCTGGTGGGAGCAAGTCGTAAGGGGGTCATGAGAGCTAATAAAACTTACGGGAAGGTTTGGAAAGTATATAACTGACTTGGTGCCTAGCCAATTCAAGGTCCTAGGCAGTTCTCACCTCAGTCCTGGAGTTTCTTCAACAGGGAGCTGCAAGAAGTTGGCCATTGGCACGCTTAAAGTCCTGGTTGCAGCTTTAGTGGTCATTCTGGAGCACTCGATCTCATTAGTCATCAGATTCTTAAAGGCTTTATCCCGATCCAGACCTGTTTTAAAGCTAAATCCTTTTCTAAATGGCAGGGGTGCGGAAATTTTTTAAAACACTACTTGTCCAGGGACTAAATCTGTGTCCCAATCTACTTGTCCCTCATGACAATCTACTTGTGTTTTTTTTTTTTTTTTTTTTTTTTTTTCTAGCAAAGCCGTATTTTAAATCAAAGGTGTTATTAGGAATGTTTTAAAAAACAAAAGGGGCTTTATGGCGACTTAAACATTTTTAACATTGCGCTGTTTATCCCCTCCTCCCCGCCTGTGTCCAGCATCGCACTCTGGGACTAGCACGGAGACCTTGCAGTTTAATGAGCACTGATTGGGTGCTCGTTAGGAAAGGAGTGTCAGGCTTATCCTTTTATACCTTACTCTGCCAGAGCTTTTTTTTTTTTTTTTTTTTTTTAAACCAGATTAAAAAAATTGTTGGCCTGAAGATTACACAGAACCCCCAAACATGAGATATTTTCTGAAATCCGAGACCCTAGAGAATAAAATAGTGGTTTTTCCAATTTTTTATGTCTCATGATATTACCTCAAAATTTCAGTAAAAAATGCAAGTTTGTTAATTTTAGGGCACAAAAAAAGCAATAAATTACCCTATTTTTTTTGTAAAATATAAAAGATGAGGTTGCAGCGAATAAATATCCAACATGTCAAACCTTAAATTTGCGTGCACTTGTGAAATGGCGACGAACTTCAATACCCTATATTTTCTATAGGTGATGCTTTTATAGCCCCTTTATAGGTCATCAGTATAGTGTTATGGAGGAGGTGTGGTGCTAGAATTATTGCTCTCATTCTGGCGTGCACGGCGGTATCTAACTTGTATCGCAGTAGACTTTTTCATCCGTAGGCGCCCCAGAGTGTGCTTTTTAAGTTTGTACGTCTGTTTATGTGGGGGCTCAATTTTTCCCTTTCCCATTTTTTCAGGAGAGCACCTCGAGAGACCTTGGCTTCTCCCCACCTGAGAAAACCCCTCCACCCAAAATAAAGAGACGGCCTCACCCCTGCGACCTCAGTTATGGTGTTTTCTCCGGCGGGGAGACACAGATTGTGGAAGCCTCTCCAGGGGTGGTCAGAGGACTACATGGTGCCTGGAGGACGGGGAGGTGGAGGGGGTGTCGGGCAGACTGGGTGCGGCCTGGTCAGGGCCCCCACTTTCCAGTAGGGCGGACTGACCCCTCAGGAGGCAAGCAGGGGAGATCCCTTGCCTGCATCCTTCCTCCTCCGTCCCGGCCCCCACCAAGGGAAGTATCCTGCACTCCTGTGTCCAGGGGGACGGGGAGGAGTGCCGCCATCCTACTCAATAGAGCCCATGACTGGGGACGTCCTTTTCGGAGGAAGGAGCTGGACTTCTCCCAGGATGCGGCTTCTAGCCGTGTCCTAGGCAGCATGGGCTGGAGGTTTTGGCGGTGTGGAGCAGCTGCATCCTGCAGAGGCAAGCGACACAGCGCTCGGGCGGACTACCTCCTGGAACATGTCTGGAGCGGAGGCACCGGGACCAGGCGACACCAGCCAGCTACAGAGGAGCCTTGCGTCCCCTACCTGTGGGCCCCTAGCTCCATGGGGTGTTCCCAGCCCTCTGGGTGGGCAGAGGTTCCAAGGCAAGGGGGGGGAGAGAGGGCCCAGGTGTTAGTCTCCCATGCCCTGTCAGGACAAAAGGGAGAGGGGGGGGAAGAGAAACCAGGTGTTAGTCCCCAACTCCCTGCCAGGAAAGGGGGGGGGGGGGAGAGAAAAAACCAGGTGTTAGTTCCCCACTCCCTGCTGGAGGAGGGGCGGAGGGTCCCGATTCTCTTTAACTTATATGTAAAGGCCCGAGAGAAGCCCAAGCCACACCATGGGGCTAAAAACAAGTGCCCCTCATGCAAGGTGACCCTCAAGGACTCCTGGACAGAGTCCTGTACTGAAGGCCTGATTAGGGAGGAAGTTCCTTTTTTCAGGGAGATCTGGTTAAGTCTGTTAGGGAGCTGACGACTACCTTTTTGGATTCCTTTAAGTCTCTTGTCGAGAACCTAGCTTTGCCCCAGGCACGGACTGTACTACAGCAGATTGAGGTTGCCCCTTCTACCAGTAGGGAGGTGGGGGTCCAAGAGGCAAGTCGGTGGAGAATCTGTCTCCGGGCTCGGGTTCTGAGACAGGTTCAGGGATGGGCCCCTTGCGCGAGTCTAGAGGCCTCTCTAGATACAAGTTGTACCTGGAATAGGTTGACGACTTACTAGGAGCCATTTATTCTGCCTTGGACATTAAGGAAGATAGCCCCTTACGTTGCTTGATCAAATGTATCAGGGAATGGATGAACAAAAACAGTTTTTCCCATCCACAAGGTATTGGTGGAAACTATTTAAGAAAGAATGACAGGACCCAGAATGAAAACCATTCTTTGCCAAATCCCTCAAACGCAGGTTCCTGTTTGACGAGGACTCTTCCGCATTGTAGAAGAGCCCCAAGCTGGATGCGGTCTTTTCTCAGGTAGCCAGGAGGTTGTACCTTGCCTTTGAGGACATGGGAATCTTGCCTGACACCATGAACAGAAGGGCGGATTCCCTTCTTAAAAAGTCCTTGGACTCCCCGCTATCCAACTTAAAGCCCGCCTTGCCCATTACAGTGGTAGCCTGGAACATGGATTATTGGCTTACGCAACTACAGGCTGATACAGTGGCGGGATCCCAGAAGGAAAACATTTGTCTCCTTCCAAACTTTACTACAGGTAGTGGGAAATATCGCGGATGCTTCAGCAGAGTCAGTAAGAATGTGTATATATACTGTAAGAATTGGACACCTATGTGAGTCCCATTGATGAGGGAAAAAGGCAAACTGAAGAGGTTACAATTTACAAAAGAACACATTTACTGACCTAAAGATAAATAGTGCAACATTTTGTGGACTGATGAAAGCAAGATTCTTTTTGGGTCTAGGGGCTGCAGACAGTTTGTCAGATGACCCCAAACACTGAATTCAAACCACAGTATACTGTGAAGACTGAAGCATGGTGACGCAAGCATCAGGATATGGGGATGTTTCTCATACTGTGGTGTTGGGGCTATTTATCGCATACCGGGGTTCATGGATCAGTTTGAATACATCAAAATGCTTGAAAAGGCCATGTTGCTTTATGCCAAAGAGGAATTGCCCTTGATATGGGTGTTTTCAACAAGACAATGACCCCCCCCCCCCCCCCCCAAACTCAACTGTAAGAAGCAGCATCTTCGTTCCAGACCAACAAGCTTAATGTTATTGAGCGGCCAGCCAATCCCTGGGCTTTAATCCAATAGAAAACTTGTGTGGTGACATAAAAAAATGCTATTTCTGAGGTAAAACCATGAAATGCAGGAATTGTGGAATGTAGTGCAATTGTCCTGGGCTGGAATACCTGTTCACAGGTGCCAGAAGTTGGTCAACTCCATGTAACACAGATATGAAGCCTGTCTCAAACAGTGGTTATACAACTAAATATTCAGTGATTCACAGAAACGCTAAATCTTCAAGCAATTTTCACTTTATTCATTGAATTGATTGAGTTTATATAGAAAATGCAGACTATTGAATTTTTGAGTTTTATAATGCATATTTTTTTTTTTAATATTCACTTTCTGTAAAGTAATAGATCTGAAACCTCTTTCTTCATGTTTTGATTTGGTACGCACATGCGTTTGCGTGTATGTAAATAAAAAGCGATTATAAGGATTTTGAGCTTTACTTAAACACACTTCTAATATGTTTAACACAAACTGTAATTGGTTGAGCTGTTAACCTAAAACAAGTATGCAGGTTAGCAAAGAAAAATCAAAACACCATATCTGCACTTTTGTCAGGTCATTAGCAATAGGGTTGGAATGACTCCTATATTTGTTTTTGCTTGGCAGGTACAGTGTCCATGTAACTAACAATGTATCTTGCTTCTGTCCTAGGTTTCAAGTACATCTTTACAATGAAGAGAGCCTAATAGGCTGTGTCCTTCCCTATTATGAAACCAAAGCGTTTGTCCGAGTAATTCAGCTCTTAAGGATCTCAAACCCAACTCATAAATGGCACTGGTTGCACGCAATTCAGGTAATTTTTGATCTTTTAAAAGAAAAGAGAAAAAAAAAAAGAGGTGGGGGGAGCTAAACTCCCTGCAGACTGGTGTGCTAAAACATTGTGGCCAGAGATGAACAGTAGATACGTATGAGATTTTTAATAAGGAGTGAAAGAAGGGCCTACACTAGCTATATTGGTATTCTTCGCTATCTTAGACTTTAGGAGTAAAGCTAAATTTTTGACCACAAAATCCTAATTAACGAGAATTCAACTACAGGTGAGTCTAATCATTAAACAGGTGTCTAGCAGACTATTATAAAAAGGGCGTTCTTTAACAAAGGAAACCCCTTCCCGTTGCTGTCAGTAAGGACACCACCTGGAAGAGAAAAGTCACCAGGCCTGAGAGAAAATAATTCTTTACACAAGAAAGGTGAAGGCTACAAGATCAGCTAAGCTTTACAATACAAAGCAGTCAGAATACTGTAGCAAAAGTGATAAAAAAAAAAAAAAATAAAGATGGAACTTCAACCATCTCAGAGATATCCAGGCTGTCCATGGAAGTTAACACCTAGTCAGCAGCATCTTTTGAGAAGAGTCGAAGAAAATTGCTATGCAAGTTCACTTCAGTTAGCTAAAGAAGTAGAAAGCCAAACTGGGTTGATTTCCCATGACACAAAACGGCGTACACTGCAGAGGAAAGGCATGCATGGGTGTCGTCCATCCATGGCGGAAGCCTCTCTTAAAGCCGATGCATAAAGTCCTCCTGGAATTTGCCAGGTAGTAGTGAGACCAAGATAAAGTGTGTTTTTAGAACTGATGGCTCCAAAACTGTTCAGCATTGCAAAGGTGAGGAGTATAAAGAAAAATGTATGGTGCCTACAGTGAAAAATAGTGGTGGCAATGTCCTTTTGTGGGGCTGCATGAGTGCTGCTGGTGTTGGGGAGCTGCACTTCATTGATGGTATCAATTCACAGATGTACTGCTCTGTATATAAAGAGAAGCCTTTGTCATGTACTTTTTCCCAACATGACAATCTAAAACAATTTTGAGTAAAACAAGATTTTTTTAATGTTATACTAACTGCTTCCTGACCACCCTATAGCAAAAGTACTGCAACAGGGCTGCGCCAAATACATATACTCGATTTTGTATTCCGGCTAGGGGGCGCACGTGCCGCTATTAGCAGCTTCATCTGTCTATCACCTCGTCCTGGCCAGAGATTCCATGCTCGCACCTGGTGCTTGCCGAGAAACAGTGACAGAGGTCTGAATGTAAACAATACAGATCTTGAGTTCAGGTGTTATACAGAAACACGGTACTTCTCGTATATATATGATACTTACTAAACTGTACAGACCTATTTCTCCAGAGTTTGGAATACAATTGAATGAACAGCAAAAAAGGAAAGTCTTTAAATTGGCACAAGGTGCAGTTGATATGTAGTGGAAATGAACTATAAATGTCTGGCAAGATGCTTATGTGCCACACTAGGTGTGATATACCAACAATCAGAGAATTCACTTTTATTTTGGAGGAGGTGTGGGATAAAGGGAACAATGGCATACATATGGTGGGAATGCCCCAAGATGCAGTAGTTTTGCAGGAAATAGTACAACAAATGCAGGAGATCTTGAAAGTATTTTAAAAGACCTGTGGGTTTGTTCCATAATACTAAGTTTACAGTGAAACAATATAAGAATATGATTTATATTCCATCTAATAAATACGGCAAAAGGATTGATCTGTAAATTTTGGCAGGCTCAGGAGATCCCTAAGGTAAAAGATTGGATACATAGGGTAGAGCATAATTATAGAATGGAGGAATTGCATCATAGGGGAGAAGACAAAATGGGAAAATTTGTAAAAACAAGGGAAAGATGGTGTGATTTTAAAATCTCAGAGATGCAGAATTGATAGGAGTTTAAAGTAGAGGGAAAGACAAATCGTGATTTGCCAGAAGAGTCCCACGGGGAAGATTGAGAGATAAAGTACTTTACCCATTGATGGGTAGATCAACAATAGAGCATTTAAAAATTGGAGAAAGTACTTGGGATAAGGAGACCGCAAGGAGTGCCAACAGACTTGCTCAGATATGTGATTGTCCGATTCCATCACTGAGGACAGAGAAAAATTATGGAAAAAAGATCCCTGAAATTAAAATATGGAGAGGTAAAGCAACAAAATCTTTGCTGACATTGCATCTGAGACGCTAGCTAGAAGATCCCTGAAACCGTTGAAGCAGATGAGGGAGAAAAAAATTAGATATACAGTATCTCACAGAAGTGAGTACATCCCTCACATTTTTGTAAATGTTTTGTTATCTTTTCATGTGACAACACTGAAAAAAAACACCTTGCTACAATGTAAAATAGTGAATGTACTGCTTGTGTAATAGTGTAAATTTGCTGTCCCCTCCAAAATAACTCAATACACACCCATTAATGTCTAAACCGCTAGCAACAAAAGTGAGTACACGCCTAAGTGAAAATGTCCAAATTGGGCCCAATTAGCAGTTTCCCCTCCCCAGTGTCATGTGACTTTAGTGTTACAAGGTCTCAGGTGTGAATGGGGAGCAGGTGTGTTAAATTTTGTTATCGCTTTCACGCTCTCACATTGGTCACTGGACATCAACATGGCACCTCATGGCAAAAGGCTCTGAGGATCTGAAAATAAGAATTGTGGCTCTACATAAATCTGGCCTAGGCTATAAGAAGATTGTCAAGACCCTGAAACTGAGCTGCAGCACAGTGACCACGGTGGTAGTGGTACACTCACTACTTTACATTGTAGCACATTGTACAAGTGCCACTTCTTCAGTGTTGTCACATGAAAAGATATAATAAAATATTTACAAAAATGTGAGGAGTGTACTCACTTCTGTGAAATACTGTAACTGGGGGTTCCCCAGCCTGCCTGATTGGGTGGAAAGACGGGAAATCGGCAAGCTTGAGATTCCCTGAAGAATTGAATGACTCTTATAGCAAATTAAATGTGCAGGAAATGGACATTTTGGGGTGGTTAGGGGGGTCTACTGAGCGTTCAGGGCCAGGAAAAGAAATGTGGCAGACTGTAAATAAAAGAAGCTAGTGAGGGGGGGGGGGGGAGGAGTTTTTTTTTTTTTTTTTTTTTTTTCCAGCCCCCCCCCCCCCCTTGACTGTTTTTTGTGTTTGCATTTTTTGTTGTGTTTTTTTTTTTTCTTTCACCCCCCTCCTCCCCCCAGCTCTCTTCTCCCACGCCAGGGTTGCAGGTCCATATATAGAGGAATCGGGGGGTTTAGAAGGGCAGTAGGAATTGGGGAGATAAGGTGAGGGCAGGCCGCTTGGATTCTGACTGCGCTGCCAAACTGTAAATCCCTTGTTTAGTTCCACCCCAATATAGGAGTCGCCAGTGGGAAGGTCGCATGACAGATTCACGGGCAAAACTTAGGCCCACGTGTTTGGGCGAGGGGGGGTAGGGGGATCTTGTAGTTGAACGGAGAACATCCATATCCTAAACTGTATCCGTTTTTCTCCTGAAGAAAAGCTAGTAGGTCAACATAACTATAAATATAAATAAGTTTAAGTTTTCCCTACAATGTGAAAGGGCTGAACTCTCTGATAAAGATATAAGATACTCAGGGAATCCATCAGCACCCTATAGAAGTAGTATTTCTTCAAGAAACACATTTAACCTGAGATACAAATGTCAAAGTATTATCCAGTGTGATGTTATGCTGTCTCACCAGTTAGAGGCCAAAGGAATATCAATTGGGCTCTCGAAAAATTAAATTTTTTCCCTGGAACGTAGACCGGAAGATCCAGAGGGTTGGTTTCTTTTTCTTGGGGGAAAGTTAGATGGATTGGAATATACCCTAGCTAATATATACTGCCCAAATAAGAACTTAGTGATATTCTTAGAGGGGATGTTGAGGAAACTCTCTGAATTGTAAAAGAGAAGTCTGGTCGTGGCTGGAGATTTTAATCTGTGTTTGGACCCTCAGCTGGATGCGTCATGTACACAGAACGGTGCAGGAAGTTGAAATATATATTTATTTAATAGGTTATTATATAAATATCAACTGGCGGATACGTGGAGAGTGAAACATCCAAAAGAGATTATACCTTCTCTTGTGCATGGTTCATATTCAAGACTAGATTATATACTGATAGAGCATAGAAAGTTGGGCCCTGATTTACTATTGTGCCTGGGCGCATTTTCCGTGTGGGCGAACGTCTAATTTTTATGAGCGACCGTCTACTTTTACCCCAGAATGAGATTTACTATTGAGCAGCGTCCATAAGTAGACGCCCAATCGAATTTACTAACGAGACACACACCCGGATTCAGACTCACAAAGCAGACTTGCTAAGAGGCACGTCTAACACCATGAAAAATCACTGCAGAGACATGTTCACTTTGAAATTTGCTTTGCCAAATATCAGGACTTCACTTTAAACAATATCTGCCATTTCAAAAAAAATTAATGTGTTAAAAATAGTTTTTTTAAAGAAAATCAACACAGTAAAAAACTAGACGCCCGTGCAGTCTTTGGTCGATATAACTGAGCATGTGCAGAACACATTTTAGACGTCCTCTGTGGGCGCTTGCTTTTTAGCCACTGCTCAATAGTAAATCTCAGTGTGGATTCCTCTGACAGCCGGCACTCGGTCGCGTCGTCTACTGTGTTTAACAAACAGCACTAAGCATATCTTTATATATTCTAATTTAATTTCCTTAGTTCTAGTGATTCTATTTTTGTTTCTTATCCTTTATAATTATTTCTGTAATGATTTTACTTATTTCGAAGGTCTAGATAATATTTATTTTGACAGCTGAATGCAATAAAAAAAAAAAACAGCGTGGGTCCCCCTTCTCATCCATACCAAGCCCTTGAGGTCTGGTATGGATATTAAGGGGGAACTCCACGCCGAAATTTAAAAAAAAAAAAAAAACAGCGCGGGGACCCCCTCAATATCCATACCGGACCCTTATCCGAGCATGCAGCCCGGCAGGTCAGGAAAAGGGGGGGGACGAGCGAGCGCCCCCCCCCCCTG